ACAGGAGATGCTCAACTGCGGGTATTGGGCCACTCTAGAGTTGAATCATTGAGCAAAGGTCGGCTAGGGCCGTGTGATGCGCAACAAGAAATGGTACTCAACTGCCGTTACATGTTGCTCCTATGTAGAATCCTTCAGGGTGACGAGGACAAAACTTGCTTTCAAGTGTATCTTTCCAGTGTTACGTTCGTCAGAAAACTTTACATCCGCCAGGGTCTACGCCTTTATCGTCGCGCGTCTGGATTGGGCAGAATAGTACGTCATTAAGATGATTGCATGCGTTTGAAAGTAAGATTTGTGTTTCTAGGTTGCAACAACTATCGCCAAAGTTAACTTTTGAATTTTTAATAACATCGATGAGAGCTTTTGAACTGTAGAATACAGGTAACTGTGGAATACAGGTAGTCGGGCCCCCATCTCTTCTCGCATGATGGTAGAGCTTATTGCTACTTTAGATAACGTCAAACATGTGAATAAGTCCTCCGCTGCTTCTAGGGAGGTGATGTCGGGTACTTCTTCAAGTTCTTGAATGTGCATTGGCGAGCCTCATCCCAAAGTGCATACTTCTCTGCCAAAGCAAAAGAGTCTGCCAGAGTTAGATCTTCTTTCATGATCAATTTTCCGAATAGCGGGTGGTCTGCTGGAAGTCCTTTTTGGAAGGCTGCTCTAGCTATCGAGTCGTTGCATCCGACTATTTTTGCCTTCTCTACTTTGAACCTCCTCACATAGTCGCGAAGCGACTCCTTTGGGTTCTTCTTGACGTTGAACAAATGATCAGACTTCTTTTTTATTGAGCGATAGGATGAATATTCTTTGGTGAAAACCAAAGAAAGTTCGTAGAAATCCCAGATGGATTGTGGCGGCAGGGTGTAGAACCAATCTTGCGCCTCGCCTTGTAGAGTAGTGGCGAATATCTTGCACATGAGCTCATCGTTGTTTCGATAAAGGATCATTGCGCTTCGGTAGCGCTTTAAGTGTCTCTCCGGGTCTTCATCCCCTTTGAAAGATGTGAAATGTGGCATGCTGAACTCTCGTGGAGGCTCTGCCTGCTCGATCTCGTCCGTGAAGGGTGACCTGCTTATGTTGGTCATGTTCCGTCGTAGTGCCTCGTTGGTGACCTCGTTGCGTTGGAAATCATGCAATCGCTTGGTCAAGAGTCTCTCTACTTCTTCCTGAATTTGCCTTTGTTGGGGGTAGTGCAGCTCTCGGCTGCCCCCAGCCATGACTTGCTGGTCTAGGCTGCTCTTCCATGTGTTTTGGCTCGTCTATGCCGCAGATGCAGTGCATATGGTGCATTCCTAGCAGGCGAGCGAGTTCTTCGCAGGCTGCTGGTTAAACTTGAGCTGGATTGAGTGACTGCTTCTCTCCGTCCGTCGTGCTGCCTACTCTGATGTGAGGTGGATGATGCTCCTTGTGGGCTTAGCCGCGAATGAACATTTTGTCTGGAAGGTTGCTCATGTTGACTATCGGAGTGTGACCCCAACCGTGAATGTATGCTCATCCGTGGGCCTAGTCGAGAGTACACGCTCCTCCGCGCGCTAAGACGAGAGTATACGCTATCTCGGGGGCCCAATCGGGAATGTACACTGCCTGAACGTTCAGCTCGTGGCTGGTCGAATGGCTGCTTGCTGGGATGCTGCTGGAAAGGTTCGTCTGCCATTGTCCTACTTCGGGATACCTCATCCGGGGCACGTTGGATCCCGATGCGTTGCAAAAGTTGATTCACCAAAGTTGTCTGTTGTGCAAGAGTGCTCGTCAACTCTATGACTTGTCGAGACAAGTGTTGTTCGCCATTTGGATTGGAAGAGCTTGGAAGGAATGCGCCTCCTTGAGCAGTGGAAGGGTGGTAGACTCCGGGCGCGAGATTTGAGTTGGGAAATGTCAAATCAGCGAAAAAATGTGGTGAGAATGCCCCCGGCTCAATGGTAGGTCCAGATGGTTGAGATAGTTTTGGGCCGACTTGGGCTGCTTGGAAAGCCACGGGAGCAGTGTGGGCCTTAAGAGTGGGCTGCTCGTCGGGAGTGGGCTGCTCGTTGGGAGCAGGCTGGGTCACGAGAGCAGGCTGCTTGGCAGGAGCAGGTTGCTTGGCGGGAGCAGGCTGGGCCACGGAAGCAGGCTGCTTGGCAGGAGCAGGTTGCTTGGCGGGAGCAGGCTGGGCCACGGAAGTAGGCTGCTTGGCAGGAGCAGGCTGGGCCACGGGAGTGGGCTGCTTGGCAGGAGCAGGCTGGGCCACGGGAGTGGGTTGCTCGACGGGAGCAGGCTGCTCAATGCGCGGTGCATGTGAATGCGAGGCTTGGGCTTGGGTCCACGTGAACTTGGATGGCACGGCTTGGATCGTGGTCTTGGTACCGTGAGCCTTGGATGGCACGGCTCGGGCCGTGGTGAAGGCTCCATGGACCTCGCCACGAGTGGCTACCGAAGTAGCCATCGTGGTGGTTCCCATGGTGGCCGTGGTGAAGGCATCATGGACCTGTAGCCACCACGGTGGTTCCCATGGTGGCCGTGGTGAAGGCATCATGTGGAAGCTCGTGGTGATGATGCCGCTCCCCTTATTGTCGCATTTTGCCTTACGGATCTCCGGGTCGTGGTGAAGGCTCCATGGACCTCGCCACGAGTGGCTACCGAAGTAGCCACCGCGGTGGTTCCCATGGTGGCCGTGGTGAAGGCACCATGGACCTCGCCGCGGGTAGCTACCGAAGTAGCCACCACGGTGGTTCCCATGGTGGAAGCTCGTGATGATGATGCCGCTCCCCTTATTGTCGCATTTAGCCTCACGGATCTCCGCAATCCCATTTCTTGAACATTAGAATTTTCACTTGTGGAATTTTCTAAATTTCTAGCCATTATATTTTGCTTATACGTTTTATCAAAGAACCTTTGCAAGTAAAAAATTCTAATAATAAGAACGTATGAAAAATATTCAAATGGACTAGAAAATAAAGAAAAAACCTTTTTTGTGCAAGAGTCTTCTACGAGTATGGATTTCAACTCTCAATGAAAGCACCAATTTGTGGATGCAAATTTCTTCCTCCTCGATCTTGGACGATTTTGCACCTACAAAACAATTAACACCTTAGGTTAAGACCAAGAGCCTCACGCGCCCACGATGAATGGGGGGGGCTTTGGCCGAAGAACCTCCGATGCCAAAGTTAGAATTTAGAGAGAAAGAGTGTTTAGAGAATTTTGGGATTTTTGCCAAAGTGTTGGAATTAGCTTTTTGGTGAGAATGGGAGTATATTTATAGGGATAGGAGGTGGCTAGGGTTTTTTAGGTTTAATTAGCCAATTTATTTGGCTATTAAAACATAAAATGAATGTTTTGGTGGTTTTTTTGTATAATTGGCTAATAAAAAGGAAGAAATGGTGGGAAAAGGTAGAAAAAAGGTAATGGATTAGGTTTTTCAATGGGATAGCCAGCCCTCTTGTGTTTTTAGGTTTGAGTGGATGTTTCAAATTGACAATTAAGGGATTGATTAGGTAATTAATCCCTTAATTAGTCAATTATTATGATTTTATGAAATATGAAAGGAATAAGTATATTATTTAGCTAATTGATTAGCTAAATAATGAAATGGGAAATATATGAATAAATTAGGTTTTAAGTTTATACCTATTTTGGGCACTTTTGACTTGGTTGAAAAAATGATTCTCTACTGCTCGCGTGTAGGAAACCCGGTATGCCTCGAGGGTATTTTTGTCCTCTTTTGTCCAAAAGTCCACGTGTCGCCTAGTGAATATTTTTGGCTCCACAAATGCCCCCACACCTGTTGGGCTGCTCGCAAAAAAGGGCAGCAGGTGTAGAGATCTTCTTGCTTTAGGAAACTTAAGACTGCTTCCTATTTTGATGTTGATTCTCTCTTTAATAGGAAATTAGATCCTTCTAGGAAAGGGAAATAAATTTCTCTCAAAGCCTATTTAACTCCACCTTAAGTGAGTTATTAAATCAACTTTGGAGAGCAATTTATTCTACCCTACAAGAGAGAGATAGCTTAGGAGGTGGAGGCTCTTGATAGAAGATTGGCATTGGAGTCGTTTTCAAAGTTAGTTTCTTCATGAACATCCTAATGTCAGCTTCTAGAGTTTCCTGTAAAAGAACAGACAACATTCATAATAAGAAAATCCCTCTCTGCAATCGCAGAAATCCCTCGGGTTTAAGGAAGCAAATAGAAAACGAAATGCTTTCCTCCCATCTCTCTCTCTCTCTCACCTCTGTCCCATCTCCTGTCTGCAAATCGCAGAAAAGAAACCCTAAACAAATCCCTGAAATCCCTCGCCTAAATCCTCCCACATTTCTCTCGGACACCCCCCTCTTTCTCTCTGCAAACCCTAAACCAAATCTCCTAAATCCTATCTTTGACACCCCACATACAGCCAAGAAGCCAAGATATTAAAGCAATATCTACATAATACTTTGGAACAATGAAGTAAAATGGTACTTACTTGTTCCTTGTCCAAAACCGTTGGTGCCACCGCACTTTGTTATCAATTGTGGGTTGATCAAATCCTTCATGGCTTAGACTGCATGAAGAATTAGAAACTAAAAGATGAATATATGCCGTAAATCATCATATAAATGTAACTGCATTTAAAAAAAGAAGGGAATGGAAAAATTGAATTCTATTTCATCAGTATGTAACTGCATGAAAAGTTACTTTGAATGCAGACTCGATCAATTTCCCCAAAGTCATTGTTAACTGAAAATCAATACCAAACCCATAAATACCACATTGAATTTGGCAAAACCCAAAAACAAAATTGCAAAAATTTACTCATAATCACGGAAAAACATGAAACTTAAGCACCCATTTGGCCAAGTTAAAGGATAAAGGCACTCACATCATCGTATTACTCTTTGGGAAGATCTTCTATTATTGGTTCTTCCTTTTTCTTGCTCTTCCTCAGAACTGCCATAAAAACCCCAGAGAAGCACACGAATTCAGAAAAGAAAATGTCCAAAACTGCCATAAAAAAAATCCAGAAAGCATACAAATTTATCAGAAAGAAAAGTTCAAATTACAAAAACCAAATGATGTGAGTGAGTAGTGAGAGGTTGTGTTAGGCACCTGAAACACGTTTTGGTTTCAATTGAAAAGGCCAGAGCCATGCATGCGAGGAAGATGACGACAGGATTCCAGAGACAACATCCACATTCTTTTTTCATGGGTGAACTAACCACATCATATTATATACTAAAACGACATAAAAAATCATTCACAAACTCACAACAAAATAGAACAAAAAGATTCACAAAAGATTTGGGAGTTGGGACGCTAACAAAAACATTTATTTTCTAAACAAATACACAACCGCTAATCTGGGTTTGGTCAGTTTGACTAAAACGGTGCGCTATTTTGCATCTAAATATAGTATATCGCTTAAATAAAATTAAAAAAATATACACATCCAATGCTTTTAGTCTAAAGCTAGAATTAGGAATAACTGAGTAAGTTAATGAAGGCAAAGCAGAGGGTAGGAAGCAGAACATACCAAGAGACCACTAGGCCATCGGGGCCGGTCTGCCGATAAATGCCGTGTACTGGTCGACAACGCCCAACGGAGTCGGCGCAGCAAAGAAGTAAAAGTCGAAACCACCCCCAATGACCTTGTAGGTGAGAGAATTCCCTCTGTAGAACACATCCATGCCATTGTTGTTGAGCAGCAGAACGGAGTGCGCGTAAGCCTCGTTGCCCACATTCCAGAGATCCATGTAAACTGGGTGGGACCCATACAAATCAGTGTTGAGATTGATCGCCGAGACGTCAGTGGTGAAGAGGATGTATGGATCGTTCGGGTAGAGCTTGATCCCGTGCGGCTGAGAGTTCTCTCCGAGGCCGTACAGGGAGGAGTCTTTCGGCAGTCGGGTGGATATCTCGAGGTACTGGTCCTTAAACACCAGTACTAGTCCAATAAAACGCTCTGCTTTATTGATTTTCAATTCATGTTCATTCGGGTCCCAAACAAGACTGAACGGCCCCGGAGCCGGGTTGTAGGTATCTACATATGATACAAGTGCCCAGATGTGGCCATCACTGCGGTTGACACCTAACTTCATACCCGGTAAAAATGTGTCTCCAGGATAATCACTTCGGCAGATCGAGGGTGATTTGAGATGTTTTCCAGCTAAATTGGACTTCGACCCAAGTATGAAAGTTGTTTCTCTTATCGAGATCTTCATTCATGTAAAATTTGGGAATTTTAGAATTGTTGAATTCTTCGGCGAGTCAGGCCTGCCGACCACCTCGTGCTTCGGCGCATGGCCCTTTGGCCGCCGTCCTGTGGCGGCTCGTGCGGCGATGTATGCAGGAAAACCTGAGGTTCCTCCTTAGGTTTTTCGACGTACCAAACCCGAATCCGCCGTCCTTTTTCCAAAATTCTAACATTTTCATAGAGTTTTATTAAACGACCTTTAATTGTGTTTAGGTGCATTGGTGGAATTGACCTCATGCTTGTTGGTTCGAGCAGCTTTCGGGCAATGGAAAACTTGTGAGTGGACCCCTTCTAAACTTATATATTGTTATAAAATATTAGCCTAGCATGCATTCCATATTTCATGATTTGAATATGATTTATAATATGCTTTATGGACTTTTATAATTATGGTTTACGAAATAGTTTGATTTATCGAAATTATGTTTTATTAGGTATTGAATTATTGGATTTGCATATATGGATTTCTATGGTTTTCGAATACGATTTATATTACGGTTTTACGAACATGAATTATTTTATGGATTTCATTAATACAATTTATCTTGGATTTATGAGATGAGACTTTGAGCTAGTGAGCTCCGGGTTTGATATGAGTTTTGAGATATGTTTTTGGTACTTATCTAGTGGGTTATCATACGGCACATCCGCACACCACGGGTATAGATGTGTATGGCCATAGGTCACAGATGATGAGGAGGAGTAAGAGATATATTATATACCCCCAGTTCACTGTCAAAAGCAGTGTCAGATAACTTCACTAGCCATGGCTAGTCGGTATGGATGTTATGCTATTTCATACAGCTTCACCTTCGGGTGATAGACAAGTTATTTAGCTTCACCTTCGGGTGATGGACAAGTACTACCTTCGGGCAACTATGATAGCCTTAGTTTCACTGACAAGATTTACAGATTTGCCTTCGGGCGACAACATTTTCATTATCAAATATTGGATTTTACATATCTACCTTCTAAATGGATTTTCATGGCATGCTAGGGTTTTTCATAAAATTTATATGTAGTATTATATATGTTTTCAAAACAAGGGGTTATTATGTTCATAAATAAAATGTTTTCCTATTATTAGTATTATTAATATAAACTTTGGTCCACTCACATTTTCAATTTTTGCGCCTCCTCAGGAGTTAGGATCGAGGCACATGATCCTGGCATCATGGCGTGTTGATATAGGTATCCTTGAATCTTCTCATTGTAGGTATCATTCCCTTATTCATATCTTTTTATAGTGATTCTTCCCTATTATTTCTAATTAGTTGTATGCTCTGAACACATTCCCTCCATGGACTCTGGAGGCATGTAACCACTGCACCAAATGGAAAAAGAAAAAATAGTAAGTATACTTATCTGCAAAAATGCGTGTTTAGCAATCAAAAGGGGAAGACCATGTCAATGTGATGCCGAAATACTTACCGTGTCCCGACAATCTTGCTAGTGTTTGCTTCCAATTCATTTTGGGTGCAAATCCTTGCCAGACCAAAATCTGAAATTTTTGGGTTCATGTTTTCATCAAGTAGTATGTGTTCGTGGCAGGAATTTCCGCCGGGGATGCTTTCCTGGCCAACGAGCACACAGCTCCCCTGGGAGGTCGGCGCCGGTTGAGGCTGCTGTCAGGCTTCTACTTCGCGGTCGGGCTTTCTCGGGCAAGACTTGTCGGGCAAGTCTCGTCGGGCAAGACTCTTCGGGTAAGGCTCTTCGGGCAAGGCTGAAAGAGAAGGACAACATTAACTTTGAGAGGTGCCTTTGTGGGGCCTTAGGTGTAGGCCTTGAGGCTCACAATCAAGGTTAACATTTAAGTGCTCAGGCGTGCCACTGCCATCTTTAGCATGGCAGATGTAGAATGGTTGTCGTGCTTTAGTTGTATATATGTATGTATCCAAGAAACCGTGTTAGTTATAACAAGTGCCTTTGTGGGGCCTTAGGTTTAGGCCTTGAGGCTTCCCATAAATAACTAAACCAGTGCTCGAACACATCATATTTATTCTTGCGATTGTAGGAGTTTTCTAACTATTATACTTCTGATTACCCGAATCCAAGAAGTAGAATGAACCCAAATAGGTGCCTTTGTGGGGCCTTAGGTGTAGGCCTTGAGGCTTCCCATCAGAGTTCATTCTTATACTTAGACTCTTTAGATCGCAGAACGGAATGAATCCAAATGGATGCCTTTGTGGGGCCTTAGGTGTAGGCCTTGAGGCTTTCCATCAGAATCCATTCCATGCTCAAGCGTTCTATGGAAATCATGATATAATAGAAACAAAACCAAGAGGTAGGTCGATTACTTGCGCCCCAAGTAACTTCGGACTTCTCGTTTATCAAGGATTGTCGTGGATGGGTTGAGTCCACATAAAGTTCTTTTTTATGCCTTGAGGCCAAGGACTTTTAAACTAATCATTTTTTACATGCCCGAAGGCTTAGGACTTGGATCTGATTTAAATACTGAAGATATATTCAAATCGGATCCAAGTACTGAGAAAACTTTGTCATCGTGATTTTGCTAGAAACAACTTGCATATAACTGGAAGTATACAACATATTGCTAGATTTTAAAGAAAGACAAGACAAAGACAGAGCAAAGCAGGTCGGGCAAGATTAAACCTTATCAATTAAGGCTGATCGTCTTGCAGGTCCCTATCTTTGTAGTTTTGTCAAAGGTCTGAAAGCTTAGAGGGGGAGAGGGGGAAAGGAGAATATAAAAGGTGAATCAATACTACAACAAGTTCGAACAAGGTAGCAGAGCTATTACAGAGGTTGGGAGAAAAGATTATCCCGCGGGGGATGAAGGCTTGTCCCGAATGGGATGAAGGCTTGGGCTGACTACAGCTTCGTTTTGAAAGGCAAATCTGGCTTTTTTAGCAGAGTTTGTGCTTTTGTTTGTTTGATTGAGTGTCTTTATTCCTGTCTTCTCTTCCTCCTTTTATAGACGACTCGGTTTGGCTCCTGTAGCGACAGCTTTGCCTGAATGCGGTCTGAGGGTGATGACTCATCAGCTTTATTACATGTAATGCCACCATAAAGTACTTTATGGGCTGTGCAGTCTGATCAGTCTACACCACTTGGTCCTTGGGTAGGTAGGCAAGTGGCCCTTATGAATTGTATCAAGTCAGAAAAAGCCCTTTCCTGTTTTCCTAAGTTTCGGCCGGGCCTTGATCTTCTATTCCTCCAGGCCTCCTTTTGGGCCGACTCCATCCTTGGGCCAAAAATCAAGTTTTAATCCAAACAGTGCCCCCTTCAATTAATGTGAAGGTTGGAATCCCAGGCGTCGACATTGATTGAATACCCGCATGCATGCATATCCGTCCTTGGGAATTTATGCTTCCGGTGCCCTTTGCTCTTCTCACGACCCTTGAACTGTCCTTTGGGCCCTATAAAATCTAGCTCGGGACTTCTCCTATCAAACTACCAAATCCCCTTTAGCTCTGGCCTTCAACTTCCATCCATCTTGAGCGTTCTTGTCTCCTCTTAGAAACTGAGAAATGGGTTCCTCAGGTTTTGAGTGGAGTTTCCTAAAACTCCCCTTTCGCGAGAAAATGAGGTTTCACCTGATGACTGCTATCTCCAACACCCTTGGTCAACCACCCCTCTATCTCCAACACCCTTGGTTAGGCGGCTTCCTCTTGATGGTTTGTCTTCCCGCAAGCTGCGGCGATAAGTCGGGCTTCACCATCACATATGGTGACAGCCCCGTCGGAGGATCCTCTACCAAGCGCATGTTGGCCGCACAACCCGATCACCCGATTGGGTTCCATCCCTGAAGACATCGGGAAACCAGCTGAAGACACCACCATATTCAGAGAGAATCAAATGTAATACATAGGATTGAAATTCTGTAAATTTCATCAATTTGTCGACATGAAATAAATACTATTTTAGCAATTTCTGTCTTTCTGCCTTCTTTGAATGTTTGATGAACAAAAACACTGCATATGAGACTCCCGAAGCCTGTTTCACTCTGCCCCCTCTTCAATGTAACAATCCCTAACATCCCATAATGTAGGACAATATTTTTTTAAGAATCTAACATTAATGGGATGTTTCTGCCCATTTCCTTCGAGGTCCGCTAGGTAGTATCCTCCTTTATTCAAAACTCGACTAATAATGAAAGGACCTTCCCATGTCGGGCTCCACTTTCCAAAACCCCGAAGCTGAGCTCCCAGCGGGAGGACTGTTTTCCATACTACATCTCCCTCTTTGAAAGACTTTACCTTCACCTTCTTGTTATAAGCTCGGGCAACAGCTATCTTTCCTTCTTGATCTGGTTCAAGGCTTCAATTCGGGCTGCATCCAGGTCTTCAATACCTTGACACATGGCTTCGATATATTCTGCACTATGTAACCCAAATTGGTTTTGAATTCTTACGGAACTAACGTTGATCTCCATGGGGAGCACTGCATCTTGCCCGAACGTCAAGGCATAAGGAGTTGTGCCTGTTCCCGCTCTTTTGGAAGTCCTGTATGCCTACAACGTATTCCCCAGCATCTCGTCCCATTTTTCTGGACTATCTATCACCATTCTTTTAATAATGTTGACCAGGATCTTGTTGCTAGCTTCGGCCTGCCCATTTGACTGAAGGTAGTACGGACTGGATTGGATCATCTTTATCTTGTACTTGCTTGCAAACTCCTCGACTTCTTTTGAAATAAAAGATGGCCCATGGTCTGTTACTATAGTCTCGGGCACCCCATATCTGTGCAGGATCTTGGTCTCGATAAAATTCTTGACTACGGCGGAAGTTATGGATTTTACTGCTGATGCTTCCACCCACTTGGTGAAGTAATCCGTTGCTACAATTATAAAAGTATGCCCTTTACTAGAAGCTGGATAAATTTGCCTGATGAAGTCCATCGCCCATCCTCGGAACGGCCAAGGCTTGACCACTGGATTCAAAGGCACTGAAGGCACGTGTTGGAGAGGTCCATGCCTCTGACATTCTTCACAACCGCGGGCATAAGACTTGTAATCCTTTTCCATATCGGGCCAGAAATAACCGTACCTTCTGAGTAGCCATCTCATCTTTGTCCCTGCTTAATGTGCTCCACATATTCCCTCATGTACTTCGGCCATCACTCTCATGGATTCTTCTTGGCCTAAGCATTTTAGTAGTAATCCATCTGGGGTTTTTCTTAGCAGGTTCTTCGCCCATAAGACATATTTGGTTGCTTGCTGCCTATTCTTCTTACTTGTAGGTGAAGAGGGATCCTTCAAATGATGAATGATGGGTGCCCTCCAATCTTCCATCTTGGTTTCTAGAACCATTACATCCAAACTAAATCCCCTGTCTAAGATGGAAGGAAGGTTTCTTGTTTGGATCTCGACATCTATTCCATACTTTCTTTCCTGTATTGGCACTCCTGAGGCTAGTTGCGCC